AGTAATGTTATGTTCAGCCTCAAATGGCTTTCTGTTAGTAATGCGTCTGATATTAGCGTGGGCATGGTTGATCGCAGTTTGCTAGTTGATTGATAAGAGTTTGATAAAGGATAAATTGTGAGCACACTTCATCTTATTATGTTTAAAGGCATACAGGTTTCCGAAGGTAACTGCATATCATTGATGAGAGAGCATAAAACAGGGACACGACGGCGAAACTAGTATACACCAATTACTAATGAAGTGTATGGCATCTGAATTTAGTGTTGCGCAGATTCGTGATGAAGGACGAAACGTGATGCTGCGGGTTTTATTGTGATGGGAAATTTTAGGATCCATTATTTCAGTAAAACAGACCTTGGTAGCTGTTTGACATCTTGAACGTCTTCGCTCATCAAGTTCACCCATTTATGTCAACTATGTTTTTTTCTGGTGATGGCTATCAGCAGCAGGACAGAACCCTATGTCACTCATTCAGAGCTGAAAATAACTGGCTTGAGAACTCAGAAACATGATGCTGAAATTCATTTAATGCTGTGTCCTCTAGAGTTATCAGAATTGAACCCAAACTAACATAATGCGTTTCAAACAGAAAAGCAAGCTTGCGTTATATCATGACTGCTTGCATGGTTAATTGGTTAAGCGATTATGTCAAAAACATCAGGGTTCTCTATCTTTCGAACCTTGCAAAATGATTTCTCGACTGAGTGATAAGGTAAGTCCTGTGAGTTATTATGTAGATGATTATAAGTTGAGGGCTATTTGCTATACGATTAAAAGGCATTTTTGACAACAATCTTTAAAATATAAAGAATAATGCCAAAAGAGATGTTTGGTAACATTCTTTAAAAAAATGAAGAATTACGCCATGTGTCACGTGAAATGTAAAGAAGTGCTTACTGTGCGAATTAATGTCAAGTTAATTTTTAACGCTAATAATGGGCAAATAAATTAAACTTATTAAGACAAACTTAAAAGGACGGTACAGCTTCCTTTTATCATTAAGAAATGTTTCAAAAATAGCAAGTGAATTTCCACAAAGAGGTATATTTCTTTAGACGCTTAGATGTTTCAGAAGTGGTTAGCAGTAACTAAAATGTAATAAACTTATATTCATGTTTTACTTTGTTAACCATTTATTGCATTTATTTTCTGATAAATATTTTCAAACATTTTCAGCCTCCTGAAGATGTATATTGTGAAGGACTCAAAAGCGATAGAAAAGTGCCTGATTTTCCAAAATATTTCAGCTTTGATGCTGAAATAATAAAATATGAGGGTTCACAAGGTATTGCTCCCGTAATCACACATCGTTCTGTAAGTAAATAATTTTTTTCATAAACCTCTCACGAATACTTAAACGAATATCTGCTGTCTATCGTATATTATTAATATAATAAAATCCATTTTACATACGTGGCAGCCTTTCTTCTATTAAGTGTGATGTTAGAATGTTGCTTTAATACATTTAAAGAACGTTCTTAAAATAGTGATTATAGTTGAAACTGCAAGAAGGATAGTAATTGTACGGCACTAAGATTATTAAGTTTTATTCTGTTATTTATGAGTAAATTACTGAGACTAGAATAGTTGGTGGGATCTGGAATTTTGGTACACAACAATATGTGAACATTTTAAAGAGAGAGGGAGATTGGTTCTTTCATATTTAAGTCTGGCTTCTTGCAGTAGTTGTTTGACTAAATATCTATCTCTGTGTTGCATGGCTCACCAGCGGCCGAGCGGTAAAGTCGCTGAACACTGGGTAGTTCGGTTCGAGGTTCGAATCCCGCGAACGGGCTGGCTGCATGGGTGTTTTAGTGGTTTTCCCCATGTGTAACGTGTATACGAGTCCGTTTCCCTTAGAAAGTCCTCCACGAAGGTATCCCTCCCCTTAGGCAGATAGCCCTAGTGTTTTGTCATAATTAAATACACCACCACACCTGTGTGGCATGAAATTAATTTGAATAAATGCAGATAATGTACAGGTAATGTAAGTAATGTATACAACGAAGAATAGAAAAAAAGTAATAAACTCTTCTTGAATTTTGAACAAGTACTGATAACAATTACATACGCCGTGTATAATAATTATACTTGGTGTCCGCAAATTCCCTGAACAACTTTAACAGCTTGTTATTTTGGAATGGAACACTAGCCACACTTTCACAAGCAAGGTTCAAAATTTTTGTGACAAGTGCAAGGACCTCCAGCCTGATGTAATTAATCAATGTATCGGGGTAAACACCGAGTGTATTTGTTTATATATGAAAGGACAATGGTCCTAAAATCTACTCATGAGCATCTTACACCAAACGTTCACTTTCTGGCTGCTTCGTGTGAGCTCCCTCGTAACATGAGTATTTTCGGAAGCAACGATTTCTGCCCTTTAATGTCACGACACTTGCACAGTTACCATTTAATTTATGACCTAATTTTCAAAGTACAGTGACAATGTAATCCTGGACTTATTTTCATTGTATAGTGACGGCTTCATTTACGGTCTTATTTTCATTGTATAGTGACGAACTAATTTATGGCCTTATTTTCATTGTATCTCTTTTAATATCCATAACAGAAGTTTCGAGAGTATTTTAAACACTGAAGTTCCGTTTCCATTTAACATACCGCAGTAAAACCAAAACGTGCAAACAAAGGTGGGAAATTTTTTCCCGTTACTGTGTTTAGAAATAAAATATTTTTTCAGAAGATATTTCCTGCTTGAAGTAACTGTAGTATGATCTTTTATTTCTAAAAGTGCTATATTAAATTACTGATAAGGCTGAAAGTGTTAATTTCCCCCCTCTTGGAAAGTCGTTTCTTTTTGTCTTATTCATTTCCGTCACGTATTAATATCTTCAATACAGATAAAATGGGGCAAGAGGAGTTCTTTTTTCATTACAGTTCCTTTTTGGAGGATGAAATGCTGCCTAAAGGGGAAAGAAGTAACACTGCAACTAGAACAATTTTCTGCGTGAGTTAGCTTTTCCTAAAGGAAGGGGATTAATGATGAAAAGGGATCATACTTGTCCACCGGCTTATTAAAAGCATAGAATAATGTTAATTTAGTGCTTTATGGTAATAAGATATGGGTTTACTCGAGTCGAAGAGACTTCCTTAAATTTCTGCATCCAATTTTAGGAAAAATCTTTTAGATTATATTATATTAGTCTAAAAGATTTTTCCTAAAATTTGATGACTATTACATATTAATTTTGTAAAAACTTCAAAAGTAGCACTTTAAATTAAAACAAAGACTAGTGTCCGAGTGTCAGTTTTTAATGAATTACTTAGGTACATACGCAGAGGATCAGCTAAAAATAAATAATATTAATGCTTATACATAAGAGTATGTTTGTTTTTATCAAGAAGCATATAATATCCTTTTTTTAGAGAAGTTAATTTTACGAGTTTCTCCTTTAATTTGGGTTCGTAACATCAGCATCACGTGAACTCTCTTAACATCAGTCGAGTACTTTATCTGTTAATCGGGAAGGAAAGGCCTTTTTGTATGCTTGAATATGCAAAACCAAATTTTGTTAGGGTTTTACAACGTCGTTTTAGAAGTGGTAAGGGCAAAAATCATTGAATTGGCCATAAAATAATCCAAAACATGTCTTTGGCTTGTTGGTTACCCAGATATCAGGATTTAGCATCATGCTACTATTTCTTGTGCAGAGGGGTATAGCACGGATTAAGTTTAAAATGATTTCCATCACCAATGGATGCACTTATCTCGTAAAGTGTGTGTGGTTAGTATATAGTTATAACTACTGGAAGATCGGTTGCTTGAATTATAAAGAAAGGACGGCTGATTTCTCATATTTCTTGTATCAAGAAAGCTAATGATTTCATCAAGTTTACATTGTTTTCCATTGCATTGCTTATGTAACTTAAGTACTAAATAAAGTATACGATTTGATTTTAATAATTCTCTATTTGACTACTGAATAAAGTTTACTCAATAATTTACGCTTTCATTGTTTTTTAATATAAGCAACCGTATTTGAGAAACTAACAGTAATTAGCTTAAATATTGAATGAAAATTATTGTGCTGAAGATATTGTAAGTTTTATATTTTTCTTCCGTAATTTAATTTTAGCCGTGTAGTTACTATCTATTAAATGGCCATTCGTACAGTTTTAAAGATTAATATGCATTTTTAATGAGTTTAAAATGCTCCTTACAATTTTAAGGTTGTCAACATAATAGGGATAACAATAAAATGTTTTGCATTTCTCTCATTGCATAAATATTCACCACCAAATTCATGGTTCATGGAATTCATGGAAAATGCTGTCGTTTACATTCATGGAAAATGCTGTCAAATTCATGGAAAATGCTGTCGTTTACATTGTAGCTTTATGTTGTAACTTTCACAAACACTCAATGGATCGATGATCTGCAATGCAGCGATAAATATGTTACCGAGAATTCAGAGTTCAACATCGCTTTTGAAACGCGAATAAGGTTACCATTTCTTGTTAGATGTCAGAAAGTAGTCAAATTGCCAGAAATTTGTCAAAATGTCAAAAACCAGACGCTTCTGCTTCTTCCGGTTATCCATATTTCGAAGTGGGTATACCTTATCTTCCGCCTGATGTATTTTCAAACTGGTTGAGGGATTTGACGCTCATCTGACGCTGCATTACAGTCAAAGTCGATTTATTTTGAAATATTTTCTATCAACGTCTCTTTCCAACCAGTTTTGTGTCCTCTTCTAGGTGTATTACGACTATCCTGCTGGTATCTCGAGAACTGACTTTTATGACCCCGTCGCTGAAGATGAAGACATATTTTCACCAGTGCGAGCCGAAGTTAAATCGATCGTTCACGACTTCAATTCAGGTAAAAAGAAAGAGATTCTCTTATGTCTAATAGCTCTTTGGTGGAAGTATTTTTTATTTCATCGTTAACGCTTTTTTTCAATCAAATGTCAACACAGATATAAAAAGCGAAGTTAGGGTTTTTTTTTCTTTTTTCTTTTTGGTCATTCCCTCTTTCCTATCGCCCCAGGAAACGCGTACGTCGTTTTTATGACCCTATCGTGTTCTTGCTTGACATTGTTTTGAAGTGTTCTCTTACTACCAGCAAAAGGTTTTCGCTTCAACAGTTTTGCAACTAAATTTATTGAAGTTCTGTAACTCAATAAATTAACGTTCCTTGAGTAAATTTGCAGAAATGGAACTGAATGCGCGTCATTTTTCCTCAGCATGACTAGAACTTACATTTTGATTACTTAAACCTAATTCAAGTATTTAATATTAAAACTAATCTACTTCTATCTAAGAACTAGTTTTAAGTTCAGAACACATGAAACTATCGAAAGTATTTACCATTTCGAAATATTCTAAATTTGACTCAATTATTTAAAGCTACATATGTATTATCAGATAAACCAGTGACTTCGAAAACCAGCCATATTCAATTTATATAAAAACCATCATCTCCACATATTGTTGGAGGAAATCAAGAATTATTATTTTTGATCAAGTGCCCTTTTTTGTAAATACGTATAAATTTTAAATAAAAATAATATTAATTATCATATTGTTTCATCTTCATTCATGTGAAATTGCTCCAAATTTCATGTTTTTTTAAAAATAAAAAAATCTTGTTTACGAATGAGCATATTACTTTATGGTGGATTGAGTGCAATTAAAAAGCATGTATTAAAATTTTTTTAAAGTAATCCAAAATACATTAAATATATAACATCAATGTGCGAGAGTGGTCACCTCCGAATTAATAAATTTCTACGAACAATTTTTAAAATAATGTTGATAAATATTAATAGCTAGAGTCACTTAACATTGAAAAGTAACTATCATTGTGTACTTGTGCGATACTAAAATCTTTTTGGTCTCTTGTGAAATTAGCTTCATTCTGATTCAGGTAAAGAATTTAGGAGAGTTATTTTACCATACTACTGTAAGGATCTTAAGTTTTACTAACGTTTATTTTATTTTAAATCTTTACTATCACTTCTTATTTTCTACTTCCGGCCAGAATTAAAAGCATTAACTTATTTATGCAAAATTTGTCTGGCGAACGCCAAGTACTTAAGTTGTGGCTTTTTGCCAAGCGAGAGAGAGGAAGGAGTTAGTTGAAGCAGGCCGCTTGCCTTAGAAGTTTTACTCGGTTGCTGGTTGCCTTCCAGGCCAGAGGTTTAATCCTCGTGATAATTTTAAACGTATTGTAGTATTAACAGTTCTCTGTACTACATACGGCTTCCTGTTAATATAAGGCCAATCTTCCACGTTTATTATTCCAAATTTAAGTTAGAGTTTAGTTATATTTTTATACTCTTACGTTCAGACCACAAGTAGTTGGTCTCTGTATTCCGAAGTACGGAAATTATTGTAAAGAGAGAAAAATAAAGGGTTTTGTATACCCTTCCTGTGTATCCTGTCTACTTCCCACATTTATTGAACATAGCTTTAGTAAGCTCCCTGTTCCGAGTCGGGTCCTTGCATGTTCCCAAAGAAAGTAAGACAAAACATTGAACCTGATACTACTTTTAAACAGAGAATTTTATTTCATAAATCATTAAGTCTAACAACTTGTAGGATTTTTGATTGTAACTAAGTGTACCTTGAAGCAAATCTTTGAATAGACGTGTAAACAACCTTTCGCTATATGTATATAAGATGAAACAAAGCGTAAGAAGGGTGTAAAAGACCCTTTTATTCAGAATTCAAAATAATTTAACGGAATGCACTCTTCTTGTGCTTATGAACCAGCCATCATTTATGACACAATTCAAAAATAAAGAACTCAAATTTAAAACTAAGTTAAATCTTAAGTTAACCCAAAGGTTACACAGAAATAAACAAGGCATAAGATGGCTCAAGTCTGTACCGACTTGCCAAGCTCTATTGGCAAAAATAAATACAACGCCGAAGACAAACTGCTAACGTAGAACTGCAACTAGCAACGTGGTCTTCACCAGGCGGAAAGTGTTCTGATTAAACAATCTAAAACCTTCCTTTAAATACTATCTCTTTCTACTTCATTTGAATATGCGTGAACTAAAAATTAGCATTCTGGCAGGAAAACGGAAAGGAAGAATGATAGTAAAGTTATTTGACATAAAATAACTGGTTAGGTAAAAATTAAATAAATCCTTCAACCTGAAAATTAGTTTTATTGAAAGTGAGCTCTGTAAGCAGAGAACAGAAAAGGCAAATGTAAAGGAATAAACATTTTGTCTTATAACTCTATGACATTAATGTATTTTAAACTGGCAGTAATTAAGTGTGATTTTAAGCAAGTACTTCAAGCCCATAGCGTTTGTGTGTTTTGTCTAATAGGATACTAGTTATTCACGTAAGCATTTTATAGAAAACCTTAGGAAACTGAATTCATACATATGTAATAGAAATTTTGTTAAAAATTGCATACAGTGGAATCACTGAGGGAATGAAATAGTTATTTTTTCACAGTTTTTACTTGTAAAAAACGGAAAGAAAGCCGTTTAACCTATATATATATATAAACAAATCCTATAAGACTTTAAACAAATTTCTTGACTTGAATTTCATTTGATAAATAAAATAAACTATTACGCTAATTTTAATTTTAGATAAAGTATAGATTGATCCCAAAGTCCGTTAACATTTGAAAATTCAATAATGCACTGAATAATAGAGGTAAAAGACACACACGCTTGAAATGCCATGGGGTTTTATTTTCAAAAAAAGTGCTTAAAACGGCTCACAGATGGAGCTTCGTACGTTATAAAAAGCAATAATTAGCCTAAAAAAGAATTTTTTGCAGACTATATTCTTTATAACAAATGTTCAACATGCCGGCCATCATTCATCAACGATACCTCTAGTTGAGGGACAATGTTGTGAGCATCACTGTACTGTATATCTGTAGGTATGGTGAGAAACTGTCGTCGGATGTCGTCTTTTAGCATCCCTAATGAGATCGAACGATCGCGGTAGACTTGTGATTTCAGATAACCCCCCCAACCAACAATCTATCGGATTGAGATCTGGGGACCTGAGAGGCCAAGCATGATGGAAGTGGCGACTCAGCATGCTATCCTCGTCAAACGATGGGTGCAAGAGATCTTTCACACGTGTAGCGATATGAGGTGGAGCGCCAGCCTGCATAAAAGTCGTACCCTCCACCAGGTGTTTATCAGCCAGACTAGGGATGATGCGATTCTGTAACATATCAGCACACCTCGCACTCGTCTCACTGACAGTTTGAATAGCAGAGACACGTAGTTCCTCGAAGAAAAAGGGTCCGATCACGATTGATATGATAAATCCACATCACACCGTGATCAACACCCGGAGACAAGAATAGAAAAGTGAGAAAGTCATGAAGGCACTAATTCCCTCTCTTACTGCAGTTCATTTCAAACACGGTTCTCATGCGACATCACTGACACTTTGCTGCCCAGCGCCATTATGTTGACCTTCTTTTACAATTTATCTTTTCTTTCAAGAAAACCCCATGTCATTTCAAGCCTGTGTGTTAATTTTTACCTCTCTAACTACATTATTCCGTTAATTATTGAATTTTGAAATGTTACCGGATTTTGGGGCACCCTGTACATGAAAAATGCAAGAGAACAAACAGATTTTATGGTTTATATACCGTACATCTTCAGATGAGACTCCATGAACTTGGGATCTCGTAACTTGTAAACGAAAATTGCGACACTCACTTTTTAATAATACCACGGGATTTATCTTCATTTTTATTATTCGTAACAAATTTGTCCAGCTTCAGCCCTTCAGACTACGAACAATGATAATTTTATGCAAATTGTAACAGCTCCCTAATAAGCTGAAGCAAAATAATAGCGTACTATTAAAAATAGTTGAATCGATTGACAAGAGTTATTTCGAATTGCACATTTTTTTAAATTTAAGGGTTTATCAGAAGCCGCAACGCAAAGGTTGCACTAAATAGAGAGTAGGAATTTAGCGATGGGAGGTATAATTAATTATTCACAACTTTGGTTGACTGAAGTCTCATTCTGCGTTCACCTTTTAACGCCACTCCGGGGTTTTAAATACATATTTTAATTCCAAAACTCGTTTTACTTTCCAAAGTAGTTTTGTTTTTAACAATTCTTCGAACAGTAAAAAGTAAAAATGTGTTTTATCATTTAATTTACTTGTATTTTGTTGACGTCTTCGGATTACAAATGTAGTTCGCAGCAGATTTAAGTACTTAAAGAAGTCTTATGCAATTATTCAGTGATAATTTTCATGAGACAAAGCGTATCATGTACGATACTTTTAACTTTGTTAACTTTTAACTTTTATAATAACTTTTGTTAAATTTACAGGAAGTTTCCAATATTATTTTTCATGAAAAATATTTTTAGGTATTGTTGATATATTGACTTGACCTTCCCCCGTGTTAAAACTTTAAACTGTTCTAGAATTCTACTCATAGATTCGGAATTTCCGAAACAAGATGATATTCTTAGTATTTGCTTGAGTTACACGAAATTAAGTAGTTAGTTATGGGTTGTTTTTTAAGAAAAGTTTCATCAGTTCTAATGCTGGAATCTATGTCGTTTTACGTTCTAATGTAACATTCAGTGTTAGAATGCCCTCACTAGATACATGATGATAATCTAAATGTCTTTAAAATCAAATGACAGTGATTCACTGCATTTGAAATAAAACATCAGTCATTCCCAAAGCATACAGGGCATACATAAAAGAACAATAGGGTTTTAAAAGTAAATAAAAATTTATTTCTGCCCTTAAAGAGGGGCAATATACATTATGTGTAACGGAAACTGCCTTACATGTTGATTACAATCCTTCAATCTGTGCTCTCTTAAGTTACGTCACGCGCTTCTACGCCGCAATCAAATTCATTCCAAACTCCATGCATCATGTACTTGCAATAGTTGCAGTGCATGCAGATCACGAAGATTTTACACGGATGTGAAATTGATGGTACCTAAATGCTGTGATTAACTGTCTTCTAAGGAAACTAATCATAGAGTGTAAGATCCAAGGAACAGGGTAGTCAAGACAGAAAGATCATTGTCTGCATCTGCAACATGTTCGATAGAAGCGCTGTGGAAGAAACTCCTTGCCCATGTCTTTTGCATTGAAATTGCCACAAGTTTGTTAAAATGAAGGCGAGTTCTATTAATTTATAAAAATGTAATCGTCACAAATTGGATTTAGTTGGAATAACAACCAGCTTTTCAACATTTTTAGGAATGAGTCAGCAATCACTGTCGCTTAAGGAAAAGGAAAGCAAAAAGGACATTTTCCCGCAGGTAATTTTATAGAAAGCATTTTCATTTGGAGAGTCATGTTTTTAACTCCTTAATGCACCAATGATAATTCAGTAAGTGGTCTTTTTCCCACCAGATTTTTGTTCTTTCTTAATTTTAACTCGAAAATGTACCTGTTTTATTCTCTTGCATTTATATATTGGAAAAAAATTCTTGAATGTGTTTACTTGGGTGCGCAGAAATAATTTAGCTCAGTGCACCACGAATTAACTCGATTGAGTGCGTTAAGAGGTTAAAATGTGCACTAAACTCAAACTTGCCCTATAGCCACAAACCTGGTATCTAAAAGCGAAGCACATAGAAAGCCTTCTTCTGCATCGACGTCAGGAGCCTTTCTTGTAAATTGTTTCTTTTGTCCTATTGGTGTTATTGTTGTGACTAATTCGTGGGCTTGTCTGATATTAGATCAAGCCCACGAAACTCATTGTGGCAAGCAGGCAAGATTGTGCAGCCTTGGGCACCGAACGTGTGACAGTACGATTTTGCTCAGCTTCGCTCCAATTTTGAAGGAGAGCATCCAAAGGAGGACAGGTCCAAGGGCCTTCCCCTTCTTTTCCCATACCACTAACCTTTCGAGAGAAATTTCGGCTCGCAGCATATTCAGAGTGTCCCCATTTTGTCGCACAGACATTTTACATTTCGAAGCATTCATGTCTGCTCTGGGATTCGAACCCGTCCCTTCAATACGGCAATCAGATCACTAACTACCATCCCGGTTGAGCTGCCAGTTATCGTGTTGTAATAATAAGAATTGAAACACTAACAGCGCACGAGAAACTTAGACAGTAATCGATGATGACACTATGGGCTATGCATCTGTAAGATGATAAGTTAAACTTAATATTAACCTTTTTAAAACTGCACCATTCTTTCGTGTATGCGTCGTATAATTTTTTAAGTAATAATAATAAAATAGAGTGTCAAAATCAGTGCCCTTATGAAGGCTTAAAAATAGGATATAAGCTTATAAACTAGGAATTAATTTGCTTTTTATACATTTTTTAACTTTTCAGTAAATTTTCTTTTCAGGAGTTCAATACACATTTAACCCAATAACTGGCAAATGCAGCTTAGGAAAATTTACAGACAATTTTGATGTAATCTCTGGAAAAATTGGTGCTGATAAAAGTATGCCTACGGCTAATAAATACTTTGCTTTGGAAGGAGCGAAAGTGGTTTATAATGGACAGGTAAGAATATTCATTCCTTAATCGTTTCGGGAAATGCTACTTAGTCTTTCTCAAAAATATCTCAGCAAACGAGTTCTTTTAATTTATTATGTAAACGAGCTGAGAATTAAAATGTTTCATGATATCATCTTTATGTCACAAGAAAGCGAATAAGCCCTGTAAGCTGATTTTAAGTTACAAAACAATTAAGAATGCTTCAATTTATTTTAGTTATACAGTAGAAACATCTATCGTATCTTTAATCTTTCTTAAGACATATTTTTGGTAAATGGGAGCTTAAAATTAGACATATGAGTTAATAGAATGAGTTTTTTTTTTTCAAACTCGTGTGTTGCATTTTTTAGTTGTGTAGAGACATTAGGATTTTTTGGAGGCAAGCGAGATGAAAAATTAGCAAATTCCTTCGCCGGAAATCCAACCACGGACCTCTAGAATACCAGCCCACCGTGCAGAACCACTACACCACGAAGGCACGCTAGGAAAGCGGGAGAAATACCTTATATACTCCCCTTTTTTTAAAGGGTGACTGGGGTTTTGGGGGGACCCAATCGCCAAATCCTGGGTAAGGAGAATCCTCAGCCAACACTCTTTTTAGTTCGGGCGCCACTGTAGAGACATTAGGATTTTTTGGAAGCAAGAGAGATGAAAATGTAGCAACCGCCTTCGCCGGGAATCGAGCCACTGGCCTCTGGAACACCGGCCCAGCGTGCAGAACCACTACACCACGAAGGCACGCTAGGAAAGCGGGAGAAATACCTTATAATTGAAAACGCTCGAGGAAACAATAAAAAGCTAATAAAGTAGTTAATAAAATTGAATTAGCGGGAAAAATGTCGTTTCTTAATTATGTTTTATATTTGGGAAAAATATAATGTTTTTTATTAGCATCATATATTTCATTAGAATAATTTTATTATTGAACAAAAACATTGAACAAATTTATTATTATGATATTTCAGTCCTTCTTTTTTTTTTCTTTTAAGTTAAAATTTTCGCTCTGTATTCTAACAAAGTTCTGAAACAGTCTAACAAAGTCTTACCTAAATAAACTATTTCGCTTAAGGACTAAAATGCAAATTTTCCGTAATCTTTCTTGGTTAGTTTGGTTTATTTGTTTATGACATAGTACTCGAGGGCTAACTGCCTAAGGCGAGGAAGCCTTCGTGGTGGACTTTCTAAGGAAAACTGGCTCGTATATTACACACGGAAAAAGTCACGAAAACGCCCATGTAGCCAGCCCGTTCACGGAGTTCGAACCTTGGATCAAATTACCAGTGTTTAGTGACTTTATCGCTCTGCCCCTGGTGGGCCCGATCTTCCTCGGATACTACTAACATTCTTATATTAAACATTGTTTATAAAAACAGAACGTATAGAAAATAAAATTTTGAAGAAAGCTGATTACCATCCCTCAGTTTTTAATTATTTGTCTCTTTTAGAAAGTTGCAATTGTTTAATATAAGCAGTACTGATCTATTAATTGTTTATATAATACAAGTGGGATTTCGTGAGCTTATTGCAGATATAAGAATTATGATTTTGGTGTTGATGCCTTTTTTAATTAGATTTTGCAGTTTAGCTTTCAGACATAGACCAAATCACTCTGTAGAAGAAAGCTGCGTAATTTTTTAATACTACTGCCTACCAAGAGATACTCGACTTTTGTAGAATTTTGATCAATGGTACAAGTATCCAAATAAAAAATAATTGGCATTAGTGAAAAAAATGTTTTTGACACATTGAGCTGAATTGACTCGCAGAGTTAACTGATTTACGATACAATTCACTTATTTTTTATTGATGATACATTTTTATCGTGATGAGTTTTTTTAAGTTTAAATATCAAATTTATATAATGAAAATTATTATAGCATTTCACGTCTCTGCTAAATAATTTTGAGAGTACAATATTTCAGCATTAGAAACTGAAAAAAAAAAAAAAAAGACTGCATTAGAGAATTGAGCTATTGTAATAAACATTATGAAACAAATCAATCTAGTTTAAACTTCCATACTATATAAGTCTGGTTCATCTCCTTTTTAAGGAGAGAAGGAAAAAATATATAATTTTCTTTTTACTTTTGAACTCAGCAGTAAATGCTTAATATTTATTACAACAGCTCAAAACGTTTTATTATTTCAAACAAAAAGGATGCAAATTCTTTTATTTCAGAAATATAGTCTACTAGATATAAATTAAAAAAAATATTATTTCGTTTACTCAGTCATCATTTAGCTTCTGCCAAATCCGTTATTTTTTACACTCTCGTTCTCTCGAGGAAACACAAGCCTATAAAAGCGTGTAGTAGAAGAAGCGCGTATATTGATTGCTTGATTTACTTTAAATAGCGGTTTGTGCTGAAGTAAGGGATTGCTTATGCTTACTTGAAATCTTTAATCTGCTTGATACGAATGAGAAGTTTCACTAAGCTGCTGTTAATTGCTAATAACAGAATTGAAGGACTAAAATTATTCCAACATAGGCTCACTTATGGATTTATTTACTGAGAATTTATATTAGTCTAAAAAGCAAGTGAGTTTTGTAGTGTAGTTTTAAAATTTAAATGTTCAGTATTTAGCAAAGGCAGATTCTTCAAATTCGCTTCGTAGGTTTGATTTGCTTGAAATCTGGAATGTACCCTTTTAGTCATTATTGCGTTTTGTAACACAAAACATTTATAGTGTTTGTAATTGAAACAAAACTATATTTGTGTTTTCGTAACAGAAAATAGGTTCCTAATTATATTTAATTTACTTGTTTTATTAAATGTTCATATTTTTTAAAGTTATCTGATGCCGCGGCTTACTGAATTCAGTAAGTAAAAGATAGGAATTCGGCTCTGAGAAATAAATAAATAATTTTTCCCAATTTTGTTTGACTGAAGACACAATCTGTAGATCAGTAATTTCCAATGTGAAATGAGTACATCCGGACAACTGTTTCAGTTCCTCAGGCAATTCAGAACTTCCCGTATATTATGCAAGTAAATTATGAAATAGCAAATTTTTATAATAAAATCGCACTAAAAGCTTTCTATTTAAGATTATAATATCTACTTAAGATAATGAGAATGGGTATTTTCCGTTTCGCTGGCGCAAATCTCGCCAAGCAGAATTTATTGGCGACAACGTACAGTATACACATAAAAAACGTTAACAAATGTTAGTTCTAAGAATTTTTTATTTTGTAGGCTTAAACATTTTAATATCGTTTATAGTTTAAAAATGATATTAAAATGTAAAAAGCCAATAAATAAAGACAATAAATTTGTAAAAAGACATTAATTTAAGAATTTACTATGCTTTCACGGTTCAACATCCTGATTCGCCAGTTCATATCACGTTATCTCAAGTAATCTCATCTCACGTATACTACGCTACAAAAATCTAATTTTCTCAGTAATTATCTACATTAATTTCAAGTTAAATCTTAATTTGGAATACAAGTTTAAATGCAAGAAGTATTTCAATTCGTGCGAATCGTTTACTCAGAAATTATGTAAAACCGCAGTGCTTTATTTCGATAGTGCATTCTTATTAGAATTGATGACCCTTGACTTTGCCTTTTCTATATTTTTGCCTTCGGGTGAGCGGTGTGATTACAGCGAATTGATGTAATTCTAATTGATGTAATTACAGCGAATGGCCTTAGGGCATAAAATTGAACTATGTGTTAAAAATTCTATGTAATTGTATGCCAGTATTGAAAGAAACAATCAATCTAATAAGAAATGACTGCTACTTGTTTTGAAAATGAGGCGTAAAAGGTTACCAGCGAGGATATTCCGTTTGGCATCAGTTGTATCATTATTGGCGACTTTATCGCCTGCGCCGGCAAAACGGAAAAGTACCTGAGAATGTTTTTCCTCCCAGTGTCGGCCACAAGTCATAATCATAGACGTTGGTCACTGCTTTAAGGCCAGAAGCGGTGGGCACTTTATTATGAAGGCACCTATTAGGTGAGCCACCTTTGCCTTCTATAAAGGGGATGGACAGTTACAACCATGCCTTTTCTGGAATTCGAAGCCGGGCCCTTTCGTTTCACTGTCAGCTCTTCTAACCACTATACCGTCTGGGCGGCCTGAGATAACTATTTTATGTAAAATATAACGATTGCTAAAGTGAAAAATTATACTTAATATTAATTTTGATTCATAACTTAATGCAGTTCAGAAGATAAGTGGTACTATGTTCCTTCTTCACAGGACGTTTTTCTACGTTGTTATACTGGTTATTCACCGTAAATGAAATTAAAAGGTTGTCTCTTGATAGTAACGACTGAAACAAATTCGTAACTTTAAATTGGCTAATCGTAATGAATGCGAATGTCTCCAAGGAAATCTACTTCACCAATTAAAAATATTCTCTAATGATGCTAAAATAAAAACTGTAAAAATAGATTTGTTGCACCATTATACTTGCAGAATTTAAAGCCATTAATTATTTGAAGCAGTACTTGCTCCTTAAAAAGGGAGATCGGTCAATTTTCTTTCGAAATGCATAAACACATCCGTAAAGAATTTTTACCCTCCTCTCCGTGCTTTCATGGTGTAGTGGGAAACACGTCCGGCTAGTATCCGAACGTTCGGACTTCGAATCCCGACCATGTCATCCCTGAGGTTTCATATTTCCTGCTCCGAAATAAACCTAATTATTACTCTATACATTTATTTTAAATTTATCAAATAGGGCGGACAGCTACTGTAGTGTTATGCGTTTCTAGGTTATGTAATTTATTTTGAAAGACGAATTAAAAAAATCTTTCAAATTTTGTAAGAAAACTGAAAATACACACATTTCATTATATATATATTTTTAATATTATTTTTCAGTACTCCACACGGGGCTTAATATCTGATGTATTCACAAGTTCCATAAAAGCCGCAGGAAAAGATGGTACGGAAGGACAAAGTTCCGTGAGCTGGTATTTTTCAACTGTAAGCATGTGAATTTATTCTTAATTAGATATAGCAGAAGATTTGTTTGCAAAACTTTTAGTTGGTTCCCAATGCATTTAAAACAATTAAAACTTAAATTATAATGTATTTGCAACTTCTTATTTTCATTAACTGTGAGAAGTTGCGATATTCTAATCTATGCGAGTTGCAAAAAACATAAAAATATTTTTAGTTGTTATATATTTAGACCAGTGTAAAACAATTACGAGTATGTTATTCAAATCACTGAATGAAATGTAATGACAGTTATAGTATATAATGCAACTAACTTGCGAAAACGTAACATGATGCGAAATTTACATTTCAGAAAGTGTCGTAGAATAGACTATTTGAGTAATGTATTTAAATCTATCTAGGAAAATTACGCGTATATTTTTGCATATTTTATTTACGTTTACTTCACTTAATAACGTTGAGATTTATAAGACCCACGGAACCTGGAAAAACCCCTGGTTCAAATGAAAAGGAACTTAACATCCATCCAAAATCGGTGCTTTGGATATGGCAGCAAATTGAGGTGCGAGGGCAACATGAAGTGTTATGAAATCAATAAGCAAGGTAATTCAAGGACTACCTCGGGACGACTGTCATTTTACCTACATTTCGTCTGAGAAGAACAAGAAATCTGTTCTTTGTAATGTAAAAAATTATGACTGATTCCTCCAAAGGCGATGATTTATTGATTTGGGGTGGTTTTATGTTGTGACTTACATAAGTTCATGTGACCAGAACGAGAATCGTAATACTGCCCATGACAAGCATTAACATCCTAGATTTTTATAGAGGGCTTCTTCAGGCAGTAATGGCCCTAATTTTCTTATAATGGACTAAAATTCTAGATTTTATCAGGTCTACCTCGTTGATGAAACTTCAGCGTGAGGCTGTTCAGCGAAGGACTGATTAACCAAAGTTCCTCATCTGAAGCTAATTGAACCCATTCAGAATTTTCACTGAAGAAGAGTTATAGCTCAAGAATACTTTCTCAGAAGCTTTTATAAGCTCAGAATTGAAGTTAGGAGCTAAGAATTAAATTTCTTTAATCAAAGTGTCACAAACACACATTTGTTAAATAGTGGGTGCCATTGTAGGCAGTGGTGCTTCTATAAGGTGTATTTATATCGTTCTGTGAGCATCGTAAAATATATCAAATCTTCATTTTGTTAGTTTTTTGATAATTGATAATTTGTTATGATAATGATTTTATAATTTTTCTTTCGTAAAGAAAAGCAAATTACATTTATGAGGAAAAGTTTCTATGTTCTGTCATGCCATTTGAACTGATTTGTAAATCTCATCAATAGGTTAATTTCGCTTAATTAATCAAGAACTTTTCATTTAAAAAAGCAATATTGCAGTGCAATTTTTGGCTTCAGTTTAAATTACAGTACTGCAGATTATTCCATGCATACATAGCCAATTATCAGCTAACAAATTAATTACAAAAAAGCCCGCTGTTATCTGGATTGGTTAAGTTATACATAAGTAGTTGGTAAGATATGTAAAAAAATATTTAATTTTCATTTTATTTTACAAAAATTAGCTTTTTAAAAATTTCGCCACGATTTCTGTCTCCTATTAAATTATCAGCATTTTAAGTAGCAGTATTTCCAATACTAATGCTTTAATAGAATTGTGAATGGAATAATAACCTCATTATTACTTTTATTAGCGTAAAAAAGTGTTCTTGATCTGCTTCATTTATTTCTGCCTGACCTGGAAGTAAATTTTAATGGGAAGGTATTTCAATGTATTTCGTTTATCTTAGATCTGGAAGCGTTCCTACAATCTAGCAATTGCAGTTAGGAGTAAATTACAACATGCTTGTAATGGAAAGTGCGTTTTAATCAGATATGTCTGATTAAACTTTTCTCTAGGCAAGTAAGAATTAAGCTGTTAAGTTACCAACAAAGGATTTAAAACTGCAATTTAGAAGCAGCTGAAAACATTAAGCTGTCAACACAATATGCAATATAACATTTGAATCAAGCAATGTCTTGAAAATTTAAGATTTATTAAGATTTTATGAATAATTCGTTACAAATCTCAATAGAAGTTAAAAACATTAAAGAAATATATTTATTACAGTATTTTAGTTCCTCATTATTAATACTTACTCATGGTTTTTTCACGAAAATTTTTCGATTTGAGAATAAGGAATGCAGTGTGGCGTGAGGACACTCAATACTTTCCGTTAAATTTATTTACTTTCCTTAAAAACGTCGTTGTGCAGATCCTCTCTCAAAATTATACCATCGATAAAAAAGATAAATAAATTTAGCTTTTGAATGAAATGAAAAAGTATAAGAGCTATAGAAAACCTTGGAAAATATTAATTCCCTTTTACTTTTGTGATTAGGGTCGACAACGCATATATGTCTGTTATAGACTGCATGTTTCTGATTTGACTTAAATTATTATAACGATAAAAAAAATCAGCTTAATTTTAGGGCTCATATGTATAGTTTTAATGTAAATGCCTGTACTTTTAATTAATTCTTTATAAATTATCAGTTAATAAAAACTGTTCAGTTAATAACCTTCTTAAATGCGAAAGAGAAGAGATAACCACCAAAACAGTATTTTATTTACCATATTATGCATTTGTACAAAAACAAGAAACAGATGCACAGAGTGATTACATCAACCAAACATTAAAATCTGTTCAATCGCAAAAACTCACAGCAACATTTCATTTTTATCTTACGTTTCGTAAATGTCCTAAGCGTACTTGCCTTCAAGGTTTTACCTTTTCCGAGTAGTTATCATTCAGAACTATGGAATATTATTCAACATACGCTCTCGCATTTTTCACAGTTTGAGCAAGAAATCAGTTTCCACTGAGTGAATGCACGTATTGGATGGCTATTTGTCATCCATAACCCCATCGCTGTCTTCACACATATAACGTGTCATGTTAATAATGTTTATAAGTATTCTTTAATGTACTTCTGCTTTTATATTCTCATTCCACTTTATGTTAACACAGAACAGGACTCAAGTCGTCGAAAATCAAAATGTTGAGAAGAATGTGCTTCTACGCATGGTCATCCGGCCCCAAGCTGTAAGTAAAAGCAAAATTTTTGATTTTTGCATGCGAATGTCTTTGAAGGAGTAAATTATCGAGAAAAACTTGTCGACAGGTAAATTAAGTTATCCTATGTATATTTTACATGTTTTTATAAAAGCAATTCATCATTATTCGTTCTACTGTTTAATATATTTATTAACTAAAATTATAGGATATTCAAAGGATAAATATGTGACATTTTAAGCGTGATTTATATCTGCTTAGGCATAAGCGTAAAATAGTAAATAATATTAACTGTATCCTTGATTTTTATTTATTCATTTATAAGCTAGTCATAAAATCAGTAGAGTATTATTTTAGACTGTATAAATACATCACATTTTGCTAATGCAGTTGGGACTCAAAGTGTTAAATTACTTGAAGCTGATGATAGTCAAAACAAACAGATGAATTGGTAATAGAACAAAGTTAGACAGTTAAGTCAAAGAAGTTTTAAATTCTGGTAAGAAAGGTAAAATCTTTCTTTCTGATTTTTTCTTTTGCATGCGACCTATGATGAAAATCTTGAATTTTGAACAGCTATTTATATCAAAATCGTTCAATGTCTAAAATCCAGAGCATTTTATGCTGGAAGAGTTTTGTGAAGAGGTGAATCGATATGTTTTACATAAAATCATTTAGTAATTATTGTGTGCATTATATATAATTTATACAGCGTGCCAACAATATTTAAGTTAAAGATAGAAGTAATATTTTTATTAAACTATTTATATTCTTTGAAATTGTGTAAAACGTTTATGAAATGAAAGAGGCAACCATGGGGAGAGGAAGTGTGCTAAAACACAAAGTCTTCTCTTCTGCAACTAATCAAAGAGTCATTGTGATTGTCATTGTGATCACTGCTATGTATATCAGTCCTGTGCAAAGTCGAAAGTACAAATACAGCATTAGGCTAAATAGACTTAAACTAAGAATAACCTTCACTTGTACAAGTTTTGGCATTCATTTTACCTATGTGGTTAAGGAGGTTTAAGTCCAATGGTGAGAAATTTATCTATAGGATTACAGAAGAGAAGTTCCATGGAGCGAATTTGTACTTCTCTTGCAGTTTCTGCAGTCGAACAAAATTCCAGATTGGAAATGGGAATTAATTATTATTCTTATTAAATTATATTGAAGAACGAAAACCCTTGAATTGGTGAACTGTAAAACGTTCTGCCTAAAATCTTTTAGTGAATTTGTCTATACATTACGTCTGATATAATATAGTATACTTTATAATTTAAATTAACGCTATAACTAAATTTAAATTTCACTATTCTTATTCATTGAAATAAACTATTAAGGAAATGAAAGCAGTGTCCAGTGATAGGAAGAGTGACGCCTGTTGGCACTGAGCTTAAGTACCAAGTTCCTTCTGTAGGGAGACAAATTGAAACTTGCACATCAGAAAAAAATATAAATTATTACTTGTTTATTTGTTTATACTTAAAATTTCTTAATTTATCTTATAATTATTCTTTGATACTTCATATCGTTCGAAGATGAAGAGGAAAATAAGTAGCAAAAGGATTCTACGCAGAGATTTTAACTGCTAAGCCTATTTGATAAATGCATTTATCCAAAACACATGTATTCATGTTCATGGCTATTCTTGATCATGAGAAGACAGTAAATCAAAAAGACAGCTAGTTAGAAATGCAAATGAAAACAAATTAAAACTCTCTATAAAACGTTTGCATTTAAAGTTATATGATAATAATATATTATATAATAATAAATTTATATATTAACAGAAGAGCGTATGTATGAATTAAAATGACTATTTTTGAAATGTAAAAGTAAGTTAAGTAAGTTTCAGTAAAATTGATACACTATTGTAATTGTAATTTTTTTGGGGAATTGTGATACCAATTTCCCATTTCAATTTGCAATTTGAATAAGAAAGATACCATACCAAAGCCTTGTTTCATGTTTTCTTCAAATGCACATCAAAAGCACAACGTATATAATATTTTAAAAAATATGAATTAACGCTATATAAATTATTTACCCATACATCTATCCAGAAGGATTGAATGTCACTTGCAACATATTTAACTCACCAGATGTGAAAATGTAACCAATCTTCCAAATCACGAAGCGTGCTCCAAACAGTGGTTAATAATTCTTGGGGGTTCTAAAATATAAACATAATGTGTGACGCTCTAAAATAACATATCACACAAAAACAATTAAATGGATAATTTTTATTACATTAATTATAAGGGTACATTAAATCTATCATGAAGTCTTGTCTAGTAGTGCTTTTGTAAAATTTAGGGAATGCGACATTCACTCAGCTTGGGAGAGTGTACATACACCATGACAGTTACTCGTTCAGAGTCACGATATCGACTACATATGATGCATCTGAGTTACAAAGTTAGTATGCATTCGGCTTTAACAGTTACGATGCATTTGATTTACAAAGTTCTACTTTTTGGACTTCTGTTTCAAGCTGCTTGCAAAACAAATCTACGAGGATTTAATATTTTAGGAAATAGTAGAAACTGTTATTAACACTAAACTTTAAAGCACAAATAAGTGCAAATAAATGGCAGTAAATATTGACAAAAATACAACACACTAATTGAAGCAACAGCTTTGTTTCATTTTACGTCATATTATTACATGTGATATTGTTTTTACATGATAATACATTTAGTTACGACATTTTCACACTGATTTAATATCATGCTTGTTTTTGTTTTGAGGTTTTAATCTAATGACGTGTTATCTGATCTGCGAAAATTCAGTGGTATAAAGAAAATTTGCATTACATGTCTCGATAATACCGTCAAAACGTTAAGCCAGTATTGGGCACTTAAAGACACATAGTTGATATTTTCATGAATAAAATCATTTTAAGAACCATTTGTGGTATAGAATCTAGCCACTGGCTACAGATAAAAAAAAGATTACGTTTTCTAACACTAATGGTAACGCTGCGGATTCTAAATATGCGTCACTCAGATCTGATGTATTCTTAAACAAATTTAAAACGCATTATTTCTAAAACCTTTGAAGTTTATTTCATATTTTACTTGTTATGATATAAAATGTTTCTTGATTCGTACATTAATTACTTTTATGATTATTTTAAAAAATATTTACCAGAAGTTTTGTCAATGAAAGCTTTATACTGTTAGGTAAAAAAAAAACTTTTTTGAAATACTTCTATATCAAATACGTTTGTAAGCGTACAGTTATTATATTCCGAAATCTTGAATTTTACACCGCTTTACACTTCAGTTGTTATCTAAGACAGACTTTACACGCGCATTCATTCATTAAATTCACATTCGATTTTGTGCTTGCGTAATGAAAGCTACTTGAAATTTGTTTACGTCAGTTTTACATTATATTAATGGAACTGGAAGCCATAATTTTAACTATAGTTTCAAACGACAATGACTGTCAGTTATTAACCAGTAAAAGCAAAAGAAACTAATATAAAATTCGAAGGTAATTATACGCGTATAGATTTAAAAGTTTTTAAAGCATCACGCTTAAAGCTTTGACTTGAGTAATTTTTGTTAGATATTTATTTATAAATATGATATTCAAATTACGAAAGCTATAAAATTCACAAAAATAGATGCACAAATAGAAGTAAGGTTCAACAAAAATCTTTAATTATTTTTTGTAAATCTCGTATTTTTTTATATATTAAAATGAAAAATATTCAAAATGGCTTTTACTGTAATACCTCTTGATGCAAATTTAAGGAAACACAACAGAAATGGGACTGGGCTTACTTTAAACTTAAGCACTAGTACTCAAGCAATTATTAAACTCAAGAACTAGTACTTAAAAGAAAATTTATGGTCTAGATCTTAACACATAAAGACAAGACTCAGAATTTTAACGTAACAGAACAGCTTAGTTTTCTAAAAAAATTTCCCTAAAGTATAGCATTACCAGATTTCGAAGAAAGGAAAATTAAGCTAACATTCAAGAGAGTTTAAAGTAAGTGCATAAAGTAAAAGATACTAAGACACGAAAGAATACGTAAGCATGCCTGGACACGTCCAAAATAAAAGTATCACAACAAAATAAGAATAAAAGTACGAAATTCGTAGCAAGTTTAGACGATCCTCACAGTCTGGCTCGAATGGTTGAATAATTCATAGTATCTTAGTCTTTTCCCTCCTGATTCTATTCCTCACAGTTCAATTCCGTTCAGGTACAGTGGAAGAATCTTACGGGAAACTAATGCCACATCGTTAAATATTCATTGGTGCGTTTTAAGTTCGATGCAAAGTATTTCAATTTCCTCGCTTTTCTGTCTTTTTTTTTTTTTTTTGTATAGGCTTTATCGTCCTGAGAGAGTGAAGAAACGTAACGAAAATCCGAAGCTAGCACATTTGTTTACTCATACTGCTTGATTCCTCCGATTCTGTCTCTCCGGAAGTTAGATATCCATGCATTTTTAACCGAAAAGCGCATGGTAAATTGACATTGCGTAACAGTTAACATTGATTCCTTGAGACGTGTTTTAACCTTATTAACTGACATTTTAAAAGTTTCGATCAGCGATTATACTATTTGCCTACAAGACTTTAACGTTAAAAATTTGTTTCGAAAGGAGGGAACGCTTATTCCTTTTGTTAATTTGTTTAAAACTTTCATTATATTACAATTTACAGTATTTTTACGTAAACTTAAGGCTAAAGAGAAATTATAGCAAGTATTACTTTTTTAAGTTTTAGGAAGTTAATTTTGATTTTTAAAATAATAAAAGACCTTACATTTCATTAATTGTAAAAGTAAAGTAACTCATTTTTAATGTACTAAGAGGTTTTCAGTATCTTATTTTAAACTAAAATAATGCCTTAAAAAGCTATTTTAGCTTAATTTAAGTAAAGATTCAATTTGAATAATAGTTTTATATTTTACTTACATCATGGTGCTTTTCCAAAATTTTAATATTTTGTTAAAATTCCAAATTTGAAATTTTAATACAAGCATTTTTGTCAATTATCTTTTAAGTCAGAAGGATCTGAATGGTTTGAAAACAATGAAAATACAAAACTGCATTTGAAGTTAGAAACTTAAAAACAGTTTAGTGTGAGATAAATCCAATAAATTATTCCTGATATGTATTCTATTTATAAACATAGTCTAAGTTTCCTAAAGTTTTCAAGAAAAATTTATTAAAATAGTACTTTAATCCCAAACATAGAATATCAACTTTATTAGAAATTTGATAAAAAATTCATTCAGTTTGATAAACTCATATATGAATTTGATAAAAGAATTCACTAAATATTCATTTATCAAAAATGAACTAAAATGAATTTTAAACTAAAATTTGCGTGTGCCCTAGTATATGTCTCGCATTCTAAAGCATATGATGAAAGCTAAGAATATTCGTATTGAAGTGAGACTTAATCGTACTTGTTTAGCGATAAAATTAACAGAATGACTATTTAGGAAGCAATGCTGTTTGTATACTCATATTAACAATTCCAGAGTTATTTTTCAAAGTATAAATTTCCATTTCATTAGACTTTAAAAAACTGGTGAATTGAGTGCTTGTTTTATAATAAACTTTGGATTTAACACATTTCAAATCCAGTTTAATGGCACTTCAGATTTTGTTTTGGGGAAAGCGCATTTAATCTATTTCAGAAAGATTTTAGTTGCCTGCTAGAATTTATACTGATCAACGAATGAGATTCTATGTTTTTATTTTCAACAAAAGAAACACAAGCTTTACCTGTGTGTAATAAAACTGATAATAACAAAAACTATTTTTGATTTTGGACTAACTATTGAAACTGACTTATTATTAAGACAGTTAAAAAACTTTATTTTGTAAATGCTATTGAATATACGTTCTGTTTAAGAAAATTTTTCCAGTTATATTTAAGTTAATGCGTAAATTTACCCTGTATACTGCTTCGTTTAACTTCGGTTTGTAATGTATAAAATCAACAACACAGCTCGTGTGTATCCTCTTAATATTAGTTAATTTTCAAGTGACAAGAATACTTCCAATATAAAAATTTTGATTTTTTTAACAAAATTATTTTGTGAGTTTAATTAAGGTGCTTTGTTTCAGCACTTTAAATGAGAAATTATGAATTCGCTTTTGAGTTAATAGCGCTATTTTGTCAAAATTAGAGGAAATCCTTTTATTTGAATAGGAATTAATGTGGACCGTTTTCGACTGAGACACCCGCGTTTTCTCTTTTATTCTATTGACTTATGTGAACCACTGGCATAATTTAAAAATTCTTAGATATCAGATGAATCTGGAATAAGATAACGAAATCGTTTTGTTCATATTCTCTGTTTATTACTACTTTAAATATGCCAATTATTATAAAAAAGTCGAGAGAACAGGGGAGAAATAATTATTAAGCATTGCATATATACACTATTTGATTCTGATCGATTTCCAAATACGATAGTTTATTTTCTGAAACCAAAACAGGTTATGTCGCATATAGCGCTACTGTACAAAATATGGTGTTAAGTTCTGCTCTATCAGTATAGTTTACATCATAAAAATTTGTCTTTCGACTCTTTATACCGCTCATGTGCAACATAAGGAAGAAAAATAAATTCCGAGATTTCTAGAAGTATCACTGAGAAATGTGATTTAAACTTAAAACCAGGTATAATAATTCTAATTTCATAAGTTCTTGAAAAAGGTAAAGGAAATATTCCATACTTTACAATTATTGCTTTAGTTTCTTATTAATTCTTGTACTTCAAGCCTTTAATTATGATTTATTAATTTAAAAGTATGCATAAATTTATGCCCATATAATTATTTTTTAATAAAGATTGAACTGCTTTTACGATAGAAGAATTATATGATCTTTGAAAATGATGTTTAATTTCTGAGGAGCAGATAGAATTCCAAACATCAAAATTAATATAGCTTTCTGAATTAAAGTGATTATTACCAAAAATGAATAAACTTAATAAACCTTTTTTGGAATGGTTTAGGAAGTAAATTATATGAAAGCTAAATCCGGACCGGTACTACCTTTAACTTTCAGTACGTAAACGTCACTTGTAAGAAGCATTTCTATTAAAACCTAGATACGTTCTCGGTTAATCGAAAGGAAAACATAGGATTTCAGCTCATCCAAAGTGAAAAATACAAGCAAACGTTACTCCGAAAAACCTCGAAAGATTAAGACTCAGAGTCACTCTCAATCCCGAAGTTAATGGTTGCGAAGTTCGGAAAATCCCACTGAAATCCTTGATAATGGGGTAAGGCTACTCTTCACTCTTTTTATACGTCGAAGAACTATACAGCCCAACTGGAGAAAATAAAAGGCTACTTACTGCATTGTCTGTAGAGTCATTTATGGGCTAGGAGTGACTTCTAACGTATACTCTTGGGGTTAAATAGAGATATCTACTTTAGAACCTCAAGTATTTTGTCTCAGTGGTTAGATACATGATAGGTTGAAATTAACCCTACTGAAGACTTATATATGCTATTTATTAGCTTTTTAGTGTCTCACTCTGAATCTGTTTAAAATGTTGACAGTTTGAAATTAACTAGTTTTTGATTTTGACAGTTATTTTCAGGATTTTTGCATTACTTTGTAATCAATTTTTTTTGGAATGATAGAAGTTCACAAAATAACATTCTTTAGGGATTCTTTAGAAGTTACTAATTTAATTCACATAATTGGAAATTAAATTTACACAAATTTACAGTGATATAATGAAAGGTTGAAACATAAATATTACTCGTATATTTTTACCTGAAATTAGCTCTGATGACTAGTTTTAAAGACTAGAATCGGATGCTTAATTTGAAGGTCGATTAAAACCAAGTTTCCAAAATATGTATTGCATAAAGACAAGTTTATATTTTTAAAATTAAATAAATCTGAAGTTTTCTCGTACTACACTTTTAGGAGATTATCAATTTCGAATTTATAAACCATAACTTTCTTCCTATACTGAATTTATTTATCTTACACTGAATTTATTTTTCGAATTTATAAATCAGAACTTTCTTCGTATATTTATTAAATTAAAATAATTAAGACATATAAATTTAATGAAAGCTTTAGGTATCTTACATTAAAGCATTTTCAAACTGTGAAACAGTTTATTTATAAAATAATTATGTTTAAAAATTATAACAAATAAAATTATCAAGTGTTTAAAAAAAAAAACCTCTTTTCTAGATAATTAAAAATGAAACATACTATTGGTGACAGGGATTTCTAATTTTAAAAATGTGAAACTCTGCAAACTATTGATCTTTATTACGCTACGAAGAAAATATATTTATTGTTTTATGATAAAACAGTTTATAAAATACTAAATTTATTAATTTTCTATTAATGTTAAAATTTCTAATTTTATTATTTTTGAAAAGTGCAAATTATTGTTTTTCATCGTGCTATGAAGAAAGCGTACTTAACATTTTATACTAAAATGACATATATCAATTTACAACCCCTTCCCAAACAACAGAGCATTAATGTTTTAAGTCCTCACTTTCATGAGTTATATTTAAAAAATAAAAACAAATACCTTCTTAACGCTGAAGAAAAGTTCCTGAATTTCATTTGTTGCATAAGACATGCAATTACCTTTAAAATCTCGTATTATGTTGTATCAAAACATGCCACGTACAACAAGATTATACATAAAAATGCTTGATGACCGTAATATAATTAAGTACCCATAGTCATAAATACATATTCACAGTATCAAATATAAAAACACGCAACTCACAGTTATAATGATACATGTGAAAAATAGAATGCTCTGGATTTAAGAAAATGCATCATTTCGCGAAATTCGTTTTTTTGAGCTCTCAGCTCTTGAGCTCGGTGAAGCTGTAACGTTTCTTACTGTCCAATTACCTTCTGAAGACTGGAGGGAGAAATGTCTGTAAGAGATGTATTCCTGTGGAACATCATTCTTCACCGGTCTTCTTCTACGACGTCTTCTAAACTTGATGGCAGTTAGGAGCACAGACAATGTGAGCACAAGCGCAGCACTGATGCTGCTCCCTAGGATGATCCCTAAGGTTGATAAGGTCATCTTAGTTTTTTGCAACTTGGCTAATGTCTTTATCTGCAGGCACTTATGATTTCTATTGTCCGGTACTGCAGGCTGTGATTTTCCTTCGATCGTTACGTATGGGATAGGTTTACCTAAGGTCCTTAGATATTTACCAGCTGCCGTTACACAAACAGTATACCACGTTTCCGATTTCAAAGAGTCCAACTGGAAACGTCGCTGAGTCGATGGAAGTGGTTCACTGGATTTCACACCACTGCCCCGAGATGAAGTAAGATGATATGTCACAAGAAAGTCATCAATGAGTGTCCCATTTTGCACATTCCATTTGATGATTAATGATTCATGATCCAAATGGATAGCTTCTAGGTCTGCTATGAAAGGTGCTGGGCAGATGTCAACAGGGTGAAGGCTTAAAATTGAGTGATCCCGAAGTCTCTCAGGCATGGCACAGGTAAGGTCCTTTCCATTTCCATCCGGATTTTGTATCAATCTAGTATGTTCTTGTATCCATTCCCAGAAGCTAAGAAGACGACAGTCACATTGAAATGGATTTCCTAGGGAATATAAAATGTTTTGTAGGCAACATAAAAATTTTGATTTTGGATTATCTATGGCACATTTAGAAGTATTAATTTCAACAAGGGACCTCTTCAGAAGGTTGCAAACTTGGAATTCCTGACATAATAAGAATTAGAGTACATAACTTTTACTAGCAATTAAATTTTTAATGACATCACTCTGTTTAAATAAAGATTTACTTTTTGACAAAAACGACCATTTGGCTTTACACGAACTGTATTTAATATTTTGGCGAAACTGTTAACAAGTAATTATCAAAATATTTAAGAAATTGTAATCACAGATCTAAATATTTTTCTCACATATTTAGTTTTTCAATTTATTTCCTGAGGAAATCAGTTTAAAGAAAATAACGTTCATTTTATTTGGAAAAAGCATAAATTCATTAATGTTCGATTTTCAGTATTTTAAATTTGGTTTGAAGCCTTAGAAAACAAGCAGTCATTAATCCTGTAATGGAAGCAATGAACTGCATTTTATGTAAGAACAATAATCATTATTATAAGTTTTTAATCACCTCCCTAAATTGAAACAAGACGTAATTTTAAATGTTGTTATCCCCATAGACAATAAGTTTACAATCCATGATGAATTTTTAATGAATTTTAGCAAAAGTCTTCTCTATTTTTGTTAGATCATTAAGCCGAAATATCAGGAAGCTATTCCAGAAAGAACATTAAATATCATTATGATACGATAAAAGCACTGAAAAAATATTTTAAATCGATTTGTTGTATTTGCTTTATAGCAATTAAAACTAGATTTTGTTTTCTTATCAAGTGGAAAAGTGGTGCAAATTATCTAATAGGATTATGTTGTTATAGCTTAACACATAAATATCAACTTAATAAATTATTTTATTGTTTGTTTTCCAGATAGTTTTAACGAATTAACTGTTTAATTCAAAAATGCTCCACTTTTAGCCTTGATTTAATTTAACTCCAACTTCACATCTCACGTATGCTATAGTTACTAAGAATTAAATTTTAGATTAAAAACTTACTTTATACAAACTCAAGAATTAAAAAAATTCTTAAAGCAAAAAGTAATACAATTATTATTAATGCGTTATAAATCATTACATTTTTGAAAACATGATCTCCTTAGTTTTTGACAGTAATTCTTGAAATTATAACTTGTTTGAATAATTACTGTCATCAGTGCTCACGATATACGATACAAAGAGGCCCACATAAGATCAACACGCCTATCTGTCCTTATTATAATTAATGATAATTCAGATATTCAGATAATTCAAAAATATTTTCGAAGATTTCTTGTGCGCAGTTAACAAAAGTTTGTAAAAACTATTATTTCCTTCATAAAGCTAGCTTGGCATAAGCTTTTCATAAAACTAGCTTGCGATATCTTTCATAAAGATAGCTTGGCAATACAAGATATATAATGCAAGACTTGTTGTACTTTAGAGAAATAACCTAAAGAGATGATAGGTATTAAATTTTTGCGGCCTTTTTAATCTCCTGAATTAAAATTCCGATTTCTTTTATTTATCGGAAAAACTCAAAGATACGTCATGGACAAAGATCCCACCCGCATTGCATTTTTAAGAAAACATTTCGAAGAACAAACACTATACGCTACATATATGTTGCCCAAAATATGATGTACCTCGCATAATTATGTGTAAATGTTGATGGAAGTCCTTTCTAACATTTTTTTATAAAAATACAGCTAATCATTTCTCATGTACATAAAAGAAATTGTGTATGGATTGGCAGGAAAGCCAGCTCTGAATCAAACGTAATGATTTTTAGACTTACCAGAGAGCAGGAGCTTTGATACTCTGATTTCAACAGGCATAAGCATATTTCCATTCAACTGGGTCAGTTGATTGCCTTCTAAATTCAGCTCAGATAAAGAACTGAGATCTACAAAGGCTCCGGGCTGTATCCAGCTTATCTGATTGTTTTGTATCCACAAAGTTTTTAGGTTGTAAAGATGGCGAAAGGTAACCCCTTCAAGTTTCTGTAATTGATTCCCTGAGACATCCAAATTCTCTACTTGCTCAATATCTTCACTGAAAACTGGAAGTTCTAATATCCTATTCGAAGTGAGATTTAGTGTTTTCAGCTTCTTCAATCCGTATAACCTCTCTTCTGGCAATATGTCAATATTATTATAACCTAAATCCAAAACGGCCAATTTAGTTAAAGGTTTGAATGCTCCAGGTGAGATTTTTACAATTTTGTTATGACGTAATGACAAATGAATAATATTTCTGAAGCCAAGAAAATCATGCGATGCAATAACTGTAATATTGCCTCTATTGATTCTCAACGTTTCCAACGATTTGAAATTTCCTGTTGTGCTTAAATCTTCTCTTATTCTTACCATTGGGTTACGATTAACTGATAAAATCCTGATATTACGTAGAGGAGCATTTAGGAGTGTATTCGGAAGGTAGAAAAAGGCATTACCATCTAGAATGAGTTTATCTAGATTTTTTAAAGGATCGTAAACGCCACTTAAGAAGGATTTTAATGTGTTATTGGATAAGTCTAATTCTTTGAGTTTAGTGAGATTTAGAAAAGCATCTTGCTCTATATTTACTATACTGTTGCTACTTAGAATAATCTTTTTTAAATTTCTGTTGCCTTTGAAAGCAAGGTGCTGAACAGATGAAATCAAATTTTTGGATAAAGAAAATATCTCCATGTTGTGAAGATTTTCAATAGCAATTGTTGGTATACTTTCGAGTTCATTTTCATCGAGATACAATTCTTTTAAGAAACCAAGACTTGAAAAATGACGGGACTCCAAGTTTTTAATTCCATTTCCGATTAAGCGCAAGATCTTTAGTTCTGTCATTTGTTCAAACATACGACCTGTCACGAAGTTCAGTCCTGTGTTTTCAATGTTAAGAGTGATAAGTCCAGATAGTCCGTAAAATAAATTTTCACTAGCGCCAGTTAGATTGTTTCCAGAAAGATATAAATGTTTTAACGAAGGAAGGAACAAAAAGTCGACTCTAACATTATTCAACTTATTTTCACTCATATCCAGTGTTTCCAGAGAAGATAGTTCTAAGAAAGATCCTGCTTCTACTTCTTCTGCCATTATATTAGATAGAACTAACTCTTTCAATGGCAAGTTTCCTTCGAACATGTATTTTCGAATTACATATATTTGATTATGTGACATGTGAAGAATTTTTAAGTTCTGCAATGTCTGAAAAGTTTGAGGTTCTATGTCCATAATTCTGTTATGTGAGATGTAAAGTTCTTCCAGTTGATCTGCTCCTTGGAACATATCAACATTCAAATGGTTTAAGTTGTTATACTCGAGATTTAAATACATTAACTGCCGCATTCCTGAAAATGTACCGCTTTCAATCGCTGATATAGAATTATGATCAAGATAGAGCTTCTGAACTTCTACCAGATCTCGAAACACCTCAGGGCGTAGTCGTTTAATCTTGTTAAAATTAAGCCACAGGATTTCCAGCTTATTTTGCCCCAGGAGACTGTTGGCATTCATGGACACGATTTCGTTGTGCGTTAATTGAAGGGATCGTAAACTGGACGGGTAACGGCTTAGGATGTCATCGACTTCCAACATCTTGTTCCCCTGAATATTCAAATGCTGTAGGTTGGCTAGAGACTGTAAAGCTTCCGCTTCAATCACTTCAATCCGGTTAAACTGCAGAAAATAAGACAAATTATTAAAGCAATTTTAATAATACTTGTTAAATGTTTGATTTAAATATTAAAAGGGAGATTATCTGTCCTGTCCGCTTAATAAAATATAGATTATAATCATACAAAATTTATCAGGTTCACGATTTCTTTTCAAAAGGAATTTGCTATTAGAACTAAGGTTAAATGTATATCTGAAGTTCTGTATGTGGACATACACATGTTTAACAGTAACTGTGTATATACATTAATCGATTTCCTCTTATATTTCTATTCTTGTATCTGTAGAAAATAATATAATTTTCACAGATCAGCTTTACTAAGTAAAATTTGAAACAATAAAAGCAATTAAAATTAATAATTTATGATATGTTGATATTTTCGGAACAAAGTATTTATAAAAATTATTATTTTGTAATAAGGGCTATTTGAACATATTAACATGTCATTAAAAGCATCAGGAAATTAATGACTACGGAAAATTAATGACTAATGCATTTGTGTTTCCCAATACTAAAAAAGAAGATTATTTCATACTAAATATTATCCATGAAATTGGCAACTTCAAGGACTTCTTTACGAAGTCATCTGAATTTTATGCAGCTTTTTTAGCTGCGGAAAATTTATTCATGATTAGTGAACTTAGGTATTTCTCCCACCTTCTTAGCGTGTCTTCGTGGTGTAGTGGTTCTGCACGCTGGGCTGGTATTCCAGAGGTCCGTGGTTCGATTCCCGACGAGCGTAGCTAATTTTTCATTTCTTCGGCCTCAAAATAACCTAATTTCTCTACAGTGACCTCCGAACTGAAAAGGGTGTTTGATGGTGATTCTCCACACCCAGAATTTGGCGATTGAGTCTCCTAAAAACCACAGTCGCCCTTTAAAAACGGGAGTATATAAGGTATTTCTCCCACTTTCCTAGCGTGCCTTCATGGTGTAGTGGTTCTGCACGCTGGGCTGGTATTCCAGAAGTCCGTGGTTCGATTATCGGCGAAGACGATTGCTCATTTTTCATTTCTCCTGCTTCCGAAAATCATAATGCCTCTACAGTGGCGCCAGAACTAAAAGGGTGTTGGATGAGGATTCTCCCCACTCAGGATTTGGCGATTGGGTCCTCTAAAAACCCCAGTCACCCTTTAAAAGGGGGAGTATATAAGGTTCGCCTACCATCTTAGCGTGCCTTCGTGGTGTAGTGGCTCTGCACGCTGGGCGCGTATTTCCAGAGGTCCGTGGTTCGATTCCCGGCGAAGGCGTTGCTAATTTTTCATCTGGCCTGCTTCCAAAAATATACCTAATGTCTCTACAAACTCAAAACAAAAGTACAAACAATTTTGAATTTTAGCCTAGAAAGTTGATAAGAACTGTGATTATAGAATAAATAACATAATTCTACAACTGACCTGTAAATGAAGTTCTTGAAGATTAGGCAGAGAGTAAAACACTCCCTTCTTGATAACTTTTAACAGATTATTCTGAAGTCGGAGATCTCTTAATTCGACAAGTTCTTGAAATGTACCAGGTTGAAGCTCGGTTATGAGGTTATTATCCAGAGATAATGAGCGAAGATCACGATTATTTTTAAACATGGAATGATGAACATCTTTTAATTGATTAAACGAAAGTTGTAGTTGATATAAATGATGCAAATGATAAAAAGCACCACATTCTATGTGGGTGATTGCATTATTTGGAATAAAAAGAACAGAGATTTGAGTAGTATTGTAAAACGTATCATTTGCTATCTTTTTAATAATATTATTTGTTAAAAAGATTTCTCGGAGGTGTGTCAAGTTATGAAAAGCTCCAGAACTGATGGAATGCAGATGATTAAAACTTAGGTCAATCGTACGAAGCTTCTTCAAATGACTGAATGCCTTTCCTGCTAAAGACGTTAAACTATTATGGCTGACATCTAACGATTCGAGTTCTCTCAGGTATAAAAATACCGTATCATTTAAGGAAGTTAAACGATTCATGTATAGAGATAGTGATGTCAATCTAGGCATAGTAACGAAACTCCTTTCATCAAGACATTTGATCTTGTTAGAGCTTAGATCTACTCTTTGTAAGGCAGTAAATCTAGTAAATCCATCATCAGGTATATCTTCGATTTCATTCCACACAAGACGCAAGGTTTTTAAATTTCTTAGTCGCCTTAATGCATTTAAAGGGAACTGCTTCAATTTGTTGTTGATCAGGATTAGTTCCTCTAGAGTATTTTCTAAACCACCGAAAGCATATTCTGTAAGAAGCTCAATCTGATTATTTTGCAGATTTAAACTGGTAATGAGTAGTCCATATAAAGCGTAACTTTCAACTGATGATATAACATTTGAATCAAAATCTAACGTCCTCAGTGTCACAAGTTTATTAAGAGAACCTTGCGGAATCTCTTTTAGCTTGCTGTTCACCATAGACAAACTGTCAAGTGTAAGTTCCAGTCCCTCAAATGCACGTTCTTGTATCGTTTGGATTTCTGTATGAGAGATTTGAAGGTGATAAACAGTTGAATTTTCGAATAATCCATCTGGAAAAACTGTTACATTTGGATCGAGGTGATAGATGCTTAATGATTTTATAGGAGCTGTGATTAGGGCCAGTGTTGCTCGTATTTCTTCCAGTCCGGTATGTGGGCATTCTAAGAAAAGACCGTCTTCGAATTCGTAGCATGGACACCAAGGGCTTTTCTCCCACTGAGGGCATCCTTCCATAAGCATGCCTGGTGAGTTGTGTGTGCCACTGTCGGAATGTTCTGTAGTTGTTGCGCTGCTGCTCTGGATTATAACAGTACAGATAGTAGCGAAAAAAATAACCCATGCTTGACTCCTCGAGCAGCCAGCAAATCGTTGCAGATCTGACATATCTCATGTCTTATCCTGGAAAAAAAGAAAAATAAATAACTCTTACAAACAGAAGTTTTCTTCATATTCCGATTAATGAATATAGTTTCACATAGTCAGGTAATTGTACCATAACTAATCAAAGCTACTCAAATATGCATTTCAGCTGGGAATTTTTAAACACTTGAGATGAGTGTTAATGTGCTTAAAAATGTAAGTACCAAGGTAGAAAAGTTTAAAGCAATGACAAAATTTATATAATCAAAATGATAATTTTAAGATTCCACAAAGTTTAAGAATAGGTAAAACCTTAAGGCGGTTAAATAAAATATGTTAATTTGCGTCTTTATTGAGTTAAATTGCGTTTAAATGTATTATCCTCTATAGTTTTGACATATATCATTACATGTACTTATGTGACCTGTATTTGCTCTAGAGTTTCTTTAAGAAAAACGTTAGCTTAGAATAAGTTATATAGTTAATTCAAAACTCATGCCCATAAGGAATCTCTTGTCGTCTAAGAAACTATCAAAAATTGAATCTGGTACCTGCTTTATTCTCAGACCTATTTGAAAAGTCAGTAATTTAACAGCTCGCACTTTGTTTTAAATTTAACCCTGAGCTATAGTTTATTTTCAGTAAGGCATTTTCAATCTGGTATTTCGTATTTACTATGTTTTCTAAATGGATTTCATTGTTTCCCTTTTATTCCACTCTTGTAACATCTGAGACAGACATAGCGTTTTAGCCTGAGGTTGACTGTTTTCCCTTACCGGTATTTTAAGAGCAAAAGTTATTTTTTATTATTAGTTTCCTTTCTCTATGACACAGAATTCTTTTTCTGTTATCTCTTGCATTTTATTTCTGAGTGGAAATGTACCCTGAGGTGCTCTGTGTAAAGAGTTATTCGTTGATTTTTGATGGGGAAAACACTTTTGCGCTATTCATGAATGTTTCAAAGAACTGGTGGTAAGAAAAAGAGCAGAGGAAGAATTTTTCCTCACATTAAATATATTGCGATATACTTCAGTATTTTTTTGCATTATTAGTAGATAGCGAGTAAATTTTTAAACCATAAAATATGTATTTGCTTTAATTGAAACTCTCAGATGATATTTATTCTTTGATTTATAAGTTAAACTATTCGGATTAATACGAAATATAATAAAATGTGAGCAAATGTTCCTTCTCATATCTGGAGCTTTTGGAGGGGTATTTCGTAGCTAATACATTTTTTATAGAAAAAATGAACAAACTTAAATGTGGGATTACTAATAACAGTATACTAGAAGATGTAGTGGAATTATCGGCGCTTTTTTGTCAATTGAATTTTGATATTTCACTAAATGGTTCTGTGCTCGCATGTACACCATAAATCCCAGACTTTTACTCCAATTTTAATTTTGTTTAAATTCTGTTGTTCTAAATTAACACCTTTCGCATGAATTTGTTTTTCTTCTTTTTAAGAAATATATTTATTTAATTTTATGACGTCTTTAAATGTTCTACAGAAGCTTTTTTTAAAAATAATATTTTGCTTGCATATATTATAAAAATTCTATATTTTTAATGCTCATCTTTCGATTGTTTCACGCTAGTTTTAATATTTCTGATAATGATAATTTTCAATTCATTAAGAAAAGTAAAATTAACTTTCTAAATCATAGCATTTATAAATTAACAAAGAAATAAAAATTGAGGAAGCTGGGTAATTAGATTTTTATTCCTTTTTTAAGTTTGCCATTTACTAAATATTGTACTGAATATTTTAGTTTAAAATTCGAATTTTGGCTTAAAAAAATTTGTTGACAAAATGGTGCATCTATATTAAAAATTTCATGAATATATACCAAACACTTTTTGGAAGTAATAAAGATTAAACTTTCTTCTATTAAGAAATATTTGATAAATAAGTTCATAAATTCTTCATAAAGTTCTAGGGGCTCATTTTAACATATATTATGGTATTTGCACTATATAAAACTCAGAAAGCCTTTTATAGGCATAAGAATTTATACACTGCGTGGAGAAGTATGATTACAGCATGTAATTTCTACATAAAAGGAATATTGTAAGATCACAGACTAGTAGGAAAAAATTTTCAATTAAGTACCAGATGGGTAGCATTAGACAAACACTGTTTTATAATATAGTAACTTGACATCAAAAATGCGGTTGCTGTAATTGTTTTACCTCTTTTAATAGTACTGATGGCTTAGAGCAAACCTGGAGTTGTAAATAGCTATAAGTATTTCGAAAAAGGAAAAGAATTCACACTGACTGACTAATCACTTGAGTAAAACAAGAAAAAGGTTCAGGTGCACTATCTGACTATCCCATTTATCAAAGTGCAGTTTAAGCCGGGCTTCTTGTATTGAATATACAAAGTAATAACAGTTTACTGAACAATATTTATAAAACACTTTTGTATTTTATATTCTTTTGTAAATATTACCAGGCATAAAAATTGTTAATCGTCATTAACATCTAGTAATATATGGAATTAATGGAGTATAAGAACACAGAAACAGCATTTTTTAAAGATAATTTTTTATATCTTTTCTAGTTTCAGAATTCGTACCGTGCATAAAAAATGCTTAATATTCCAGCACTTCTTCCATATCGGTTAAGAGACGTTTGAAAAGGAAATAATAACTAGGTTTTTCCAAACATAATTAAACATTCCGAGGTTTTAATAACGCGTTTCTGAGACGGTTCCAAGCAGGTGTGCTAAAGTATTGATGATCACTACATAGAATCTAAACGAAGGAGACAAAATTTTATTCAACAGAAATATTTTCTGAACCCTTTATAAAATCAACTGTTTATGCTAAAAAATGAACTTCAGCTTTCTTTCTCTATTTTTCTTTTTCATGCATAATTTACATTCCCCTTCAACTGATAAAAAATCTTATAAATTTGAAGCTGTTTTCATATTTGACACACCAGCAACGCGATTTACATTTTTATAATTCAGCCTCGGCTCATATCTTCATTTTAATAGCTTCTAGCGTTTCTATAGAAATAACTGCCTCTGTTGAGTTTTCATATTTATATCGGTGAAATTTAAAAAGATTCTCTCCCCCAAGCGAAGCTCTTTTTTTAATAAATACTTTTTTATTTCCCTTTCCTGTCCATCAATATTTTTTGTTTAATTGCTTCACATCTGTTTTGATATCAACAAAGGACATTTTATCAAATTTTGCTATAGAATTCTTGTTTGTGTCAAAATATATGAAAGGAAATATTGTGATATAGGGCAAGAACAGTTTGTTTCAGGAAAATAACTACACCTTTTTAATCTCGATTATACTTTAAAGCAGTGATTAACTTCCGGAAAATTTAAGAGAATGATGAATGTTTTTATTGGTAAGAATGCTGAAAAATTTTATTAGTGAGAATGTTCAGAATTTTTAAGAATGGTGAAAATGTTGTTATTTGAATTTTATTAGTCTATGAAATAATTGGTATTATGTGCAATATTTACAGTTAATCTGCGTTAATACAATAACTGCCTTTACCTACCAAGAAAGACAGAATCTTGCGGAAATAGTGCTGCTATTGTTTCAAATGGTCAAACATTTGCAACATCGTTTCAAATGGTCAAAACTTGCAACTTGATACACTCTTCGGTTATGACCCACTACTGATCAGTCATTTATCCGTTTTGTCACTGAGAATTGTTTACAAAAATGTTAGTGCCGTTCATCAGGACGCAAAATTGTTGAGATGAAAATCAGCATGGTATGTTATTTATTTAATCCCATTACATAATGTATATGAGTTGCTAAATTCATCGTCTATGGAGACGAATTTCTAAAACCGTGAAACACTACTAGTTCATTTTGTATTCTTCTGAAGGGGCATAAATCCTGTGCGTCTTCGTAGCGGACTCTGTAAGGGAAACCGACGCCCTTTACAATGCCTAGCATGAAAACACTCTTCCGATGAGCCAACACTGATTCCTGGCTTCACATTCTATTTTTTCCTAACTAATGTTTTACCCTATGAGTAACATTAACATAGATTTATTTCTATTAGAAAATTCTACACGGAGTTATCCCTCGCTCATAATAAACTTAAATAAAAGCATTGCGAAGTGATGAAATCTATTACGTATTGATAAGATTAAATATTTAAGCTTGGACTGTATTGTTTGTTTTTTCAAAGAAGCGTATCTTAGCAGAAGCTTTTCAAAAAGAAATTGAATTTATATTTGGAGTAATGCATAAAAGAAAAATACAGAATGTCCATGTAGCTAAGGTATCAAATACACAAAACGCCATTGCTTATGGGTCTCATATTAATGCTTAGCTTTTCGAGTTACAGTGCTAAAGTCTAAAATAAAAATGATACATAATATTAAAGTATACATAGTATAGAAAGTAAAACATATTATCAGAGCACTGAATTTTTGTTACTCTGTAATTTTCTATAGATAGGGATCTCTAATTTTACTAGACAATCCATTATATAAGGATCTGATTACAAACCTCATTTACAACAGATACTTATTTGTACCGTATATAAATGAATAAATCATATAACATTAGACATGTATATAAAATTTATTAATAATATTAGATGAATGCATACATTAAGTTATTTGAAAGCGAATTAACTGAAAAAATAGAATTTGATACTGTATGATAAAGGAAAAAGAAGCTATTTGCTTAGCAACATTTTTAGTATTGGTGTTCGAGGGTGTTTAATTTCTTGCGTCTTTTTATATGCACACATAAAGTATCTTTAAAAAAAACCAAAACCCTCTATGCTGTTAAATTTACTAATGGGATTCACTGACATCAATTCCATGGGAGAAGTGACTTTGTAAACTAGTGCCTATTTCCATACAAATGCTTTTGTCTTGAAATCCTGAGAGTTTTTGGTGCATTGTCCGTTTTCTCCTTAAAGAAAAGTAGATGTTTTAATGACATCGTTGAGAACAGGACTGAAGGCTAATAAAAAGAACGCTGGCTTTGTATTCTGAGCACTCTTCTAAGAGCAATAAAGTGGCCATTGGCCGATTAATGGCC